ACTCGTTTATAAGGTGGAGATTACATCACGTGCACAACTCCACCACTGCCTCCTTTGTGGAATGCACGACGATAATTTGTTATTATTATTTTGAATCAAACATGAGTCATGCATATAAGACAATAGTTTATTCTTTATTTGGTTTGAAAAATATTTGTCGGTTAGATTTTTATCTGTGAGATTATAATTTACTTATTATGAAAATAAACGAAAACTGAGAGAAGTATTTTTCTTTGGCATACGTTGATATATACATCCTAAATAGTCGTCAGTGAAAATGATTGATTATATAAACGTGTTACGGTGTATATCTTACTGGAAATCATTACCTGCTCTTACTGCCCCATTCATTTAGCTGATCCCACCAAACAATTCAGCTATAATCTACACATATAACGTGTTTTCTTTAATCAAACATATATAGTAATAAAATACAGGACTAATCACCAATATCAAATTTAATGAGAATAATCACAACATTTTATTTGCTAGTCTACTAGTAAAATATATCACTTGTCATCTGTGCATGCAGCGCAATGACCATAACAACCTTCATCAAGAAGCATCTTCGCGATCCTCCCGTTGGCACCACACGGCCAAAACCCGCCGGGCCGGTGCTCGTCTCCAGTGCCGTACATAACCCTGAGGATCTCTTGCGGTGTCCGGTCATAAGAAAGAGAGTATGGATCAGCGGAGAGGATGTTGCTGGTGGTGCGATTCTCCGCTCCTAGCCACAGTGGTACGCACAAGCCTTCGTCTTTGATCCCGCACATACCAAGCTCGTTACGGAGGTTAGATATCTCGTTGGTCAGCTCAGCCACCGTGACTCCGCCGTATTCCTCCACCGTCTCGTTTTGTCTCTCGTACAAGAGCGTCCTTATCACTCCGTCTTGACCCGATTCCACTCCCAAAAGACCCGCCACAAGCTGGTTTTCATAGTTATTAATAATGTTTTGAAAATACTATGGAGACTATTGTCTATATTCTAGAATATATCTTACTCATTACGAAATATGTGCAATAATACGATTCACTAATCACTATGACAGTCGTTTTAATTCATGTATGTGGTCAGTCACTCAAATACATATATTAAATATTAACGTGAATATAAATTTTACAAAAAAAAATATTAATTTCGTACTAAAAATATTTTGAAGTTTAATATTGTTATGTTTTGAAGTTCAAATTACGAGTATTAATGTATTTTGATACTTAAAAAAAAAATGATATATAGAAACACATGAGTTTCTAATATGTTTATTGTTTTGCACATTATCGGTTATGTAAATTCCGTAATATAATAGCGAATGGTTACCCGCTTGATATTGAAGTAGACAAGGTAAGGGATGGTTCCGACATAACCGGTGAGGCCAACATAAGGAATATAGTATGAAGCTAAAAGATAGTTGAGTGAGTTCGCGTAAGGATCGAACCGCGGTTTCGATCTGCGTCCAACCGCTCTGTCCATGAACATGGCGAAGTTCTCTCTCGTCAGATTCAACAGCGGACGCGGAATCCCTCCCGTCATATCCGCAATCGCCCTTCAATATGACCTCATTTATTTTAACTTTCAACTAGTTTATCAAATTAGAGAAATTTTAATGGAAAGATTGATAATTTAGACAATTTACNTAAGATGACCGATTTCCTGATAACCAAATTCTTCGATGATTCGTTTCGTTAGAGGATCAAGATTGGCTTTCTTGGCCCCAATCGGGGGTGGTCCGCCTTTAGCAAGCGTCGCGTTAAACGCATCGAGCCCTTTTCCGGTAGACGCTTTCAAGAAGAATTCGGCTTCCGTGAATTCTAAGTTCAGTGCAAAATGAACTCGATCAATATCGGTCACTGATGATATATTTCCGGAGCAACTAATATAGCCGGATTTAACCGGAGTTGCATCTATTGCAATAAGCAAGACGAGAGCGAGACAAAGTTTAAACATAATTATTTCCCCGTTGTTTCTTTGATAAATCAATGTATTCAAAGCATGTAAACAAGAACTCAGCTTTATACAGGGTTGTAATTTTATTTTCTTAAAATATTTTACAAATTAGTTGAATGAATATGTTGGTTGGAACTGATTTCTTCTGCGTGAATACTAAGTTAGTAGCTTATTTTGGTATAAATGGAATATTGACAAGTTTTTCTAACCCGGTAGCTACCATAGATATTCGTAATTACGTAAGGTAATTAACATGATCATTTACCTGATTCAGTGAAAACGTTAATCTATTCCTTTGGTTGACCAAAAAAACAAAATTCTCTTTATATTCCCTTATTATTCGCGGTTTATTAGGTGAGATGAGTTAATGATTTGAGGTTTCTTAGGAAAATATTTTTTTGTTGTAGAAAGTAACTTTTATTTGTAACAATGAAAGTGTATGGTCATTCTCTCATTTGTAACAACCAATCTATATGTATCTAACTAACTCCAAGCAAAATTAAAATATAGTCTTATCTACAAATACAAACTGGTTTGAGTAAGCTAGCATTTTAAAGGGATTGTTCTCTGATTTTTTAATGGGATTTATTATTTTATGTAGCGTTTCTTTTGAACGTAAAATAAACTCACTATTTGAATGTTTATATTTGATATCAAAATAGCAGAAGCGCATCTGGTGTAGTGGTATCATAGTACCCTCCCACGGTACTGACCCGGGTTCGATTCCCTGGATGCGCAAACTTTCTATGTTTTTAATTTTTCTTCACATTAAATTTAAAAAGCCAAAGGAGAAATAAAATCTGATTTTCTTGGCTATTTTATTGTGCAAATATTTACCTTAGTAGAAGGAGAAATTGAATCTGACAATTGTTGGATATTGTCTTTTGTTGCAAAATGGTCCATTGTGTACTGTAAAGATGTTTTGATCGAATACCTAAATTCAGAAGGTGACCATATCAAACAAGAAAGCTCCACTCACTCTTCTTTTTCGATTTAGTACATAAAAATATCAGGAAAAAAAAAAGGTTTTGTTCACATTTACCATTTTAACTGTTACCCAACATACAATGAACTTAGCATGAACCGAAAGGGGAAAGAAAAACTTTTATCCACCAATTTTATATTTTTTTCCAAATTTATTTTGTTGCAGAGTTGTTTGCCAGTTTAAAAATGGAATACTAATTAAGTTTGCAACTAGGGAAGTTGGAAAATGCATGTTAGTCATCACAAGGATTACACTTTTATAAGGGGAATAAAAAAAATCTTTAGTCTTCTCCACATATAATTGTCGCTTTTAATAGTGGAAGAAGGAATAGAAAAGATAAGCCACTCTCTACTTTATTTTATAACCATCTAAGAAAACGACTAAAAGAACCCTTTAACTATTTATTCTCTATCGAACTAAAACGAAAGGAGGATCAAAAACAAGAAAATGCAAACTCTGTCTCTGTTTCTCAATTTCTTGATCATCGTTTTGGAAGTAAGATTCAGTGATGCATTTACTAGAAACGATTTTCCAGATGATTTCCTCTTTGGAGCTGCCTCTTCTGCTTATCAGGTTCGAGTTTTGCTTATTTGATATTTTTCCATCTTAAATATGGAGTTTTTATTTGTTTTATGATTTGCGGAAATATAGTGGGAAGGAGCTGTTGATGAAGATGGAAGAACTCCTAGTGTTTGGGATACTTTCTCACACTCTTGTAAGCTC